ATAATAATAATAATAATAATAATAATAATAATAATAATAATAATAATAATGTGCATGCATAAATATTTTTGATAACAATAGGATTTCAAAAATTATGTAAATCTATACCAAACCCAATAAAACAACTGCTACTAACTAAAAAGAACTACTTCTTAATTAAACAATTTTACTGCACTGATTGCATGCTTTAGATATAAAATACAAGAAATTATAGAAGCACACATAACTACTGTCGTCATTAAAATATTTGGGTGAATTTGATTGATTTTTCTTTTTAACATAGTGCTAAAGTTTTAATATATATTTTAATATATGGTTTTAATATATAAATGGATGTATATGGGTAGAAATACTGCAGAGTAGAAGCTAAACTGAAAACAAAAAAATGCATTCTGTCGGATAATGCCTAGAGGTTAATATTTCAGATTTGTCAACACATATTTATGACAAAATGTCAGACAGACTTCATCTAACACTGATTTATGAACCATTCAAGAGTAAAAAGAAAAGAACGTCAGCTTTGTATTTTTAGAAACCAAACGCTTGTTACACGTAATTATCATTTAGGTATTTATAAAAAAAAAAAAAAGAAAAAGAAAGAAAGAAATCCAGGCGTATTTGAACACAACACAGTTCATTTTTCCGACTTCCTGTCTGAGCGCAACTACAGGAAGCACTTGAACGCACCACCGCATTACGACAGCACGGAGGGGAAAAGGTAGGCGCTGTCACCTTCATTGTCTGTAACTTTTTCGTCACAAATACAGAAATATTAACAGAAAATAACGACRTGATTAGAGTAACTCTTTCTGATGCGATGGTTTGTATTTTTAGTCTTCTTACAGGTAATTTATTCTAGCCGGCGGATGTCAAAACAAGCGGCTAACTTWAGCTAACTTTAAGCTAACATCATAAATCTCTGCTTGAAGTTACCTGAGAGATATTTTTAATAAAACAAAACAACCACTGAACTTCAGGATACATTTGCTCAAAGTTTATAGGTGTGTGTGTACGGTTGTCTTAATTTATCAAAATGATTTTAAACTAATTGTTTTGCTTTGCGAAGATAGTATTCGACCTACCATTGCTACGTCTTATAGTTTGAAGTGATTACGCAATAATTAGTTTATTAAAAACGATTTTATCTAGATTTATCGTTTGGTTTAGATTCAAATACATTTTTTCTTACTGTTCAGCTGGTTTTTGACAAGTATATCATCTTAAACTTTTTATGCGGAAGTGGCTGAAAAGTARAAACATCTGATTAAAATAATGAATTACTTGAAAGCTCAAAACCGTCTTAGAAATAACCTGAAACAATCTGAGGTTGATTTTTATTCCTGGGTGATTTCTTTAGTGTTAAATAAATATATTAATATGCCACATGTTCAGGTTCTCTTTGTACTGAAAGCATGTAAGTATTTCACCAATACATTCATGTTTTTCACTGTAGTTTGAGTTGATTTAGGTTTTCTAAATACATGTTTTAGATTAGATAAGGGCAACATCTTACAGTGATTGTCACTATTTATATGTTTTGTGCATGATTGATTTGATTATAATTATTTGCCTAAACAAACAAAACAAATTGAACTATTATTCCATCTTCAAAGAGTCTAACAACTATTCTAAATTATGTGTTATTATTAACAAAATATTTTTGGAGGTATATTAATCTGGATATGGATGTTATATTTGTACAGATTATTATTATTGTTATTTTTCTTTTCATTTTAAACTCACCTGCAAACTTGGTTTTAATTTAGATTATTTGTAATAAATATGATTATGTACAAATATGGCATATCTACTATTAACACATAGTACAAGATAATGTGTCTCTGTTTATAAACATGAATCAAAATAAATTTTAACATTAATGGTGAGCTGTAACTAAAGCTTTAGGGTTTGTAGTGAGATTTTAAATGTCAAGTTGTCATAATCTTTTTGGCTTATTAATATGTGTTGAAAGTAACAAACACAAATACTTGACTTATTTTTGACAGGAAAGAGTAAAAATAACTAATAGTTTGGAACAACTGAAACAGTTTTCTGCAAATCATCATTACATTTGTTAAATCTTTAAGTTCTGCTGTGAAATTGAAACTTTTATAGAAATACAGGRTATCAGTGTGGTTCTAAAATGAAACTTTAAAATGCTTTACAGTAAACGGGCCTGTCACTTATCATTTGCCGTGTCATTTTTTAAGGCTGATGTTGGCCAAACAGGACCAACTTGATATCGCAGATAACAGTGTGTGTGTGCAACAAACAAAAGCGCGTCAGGAAGACACGCTCCCCTCTAATGGTTCAGAATTGTTTTCTTGTGAGTGTGAATTACCACCGGGAAATGTTTCCTGGCATAATCAGTGTTATCGTCCCTGCAGCCTGTGACCAGTCGCCCCTGACTCATCAGAGCTCAGCTGAATGCTGCCGCAGCCAAACGAGCCAAACAAAGAGCCAGTGATGAAGCAGCCYCATACCTCTACAATTGTCCCCGGTAGAGAGGCAGCAGCCCGGCTGAGCGAGCTGCTCGCCGTCTGGGCGGTCACAGGTTGTGCCGTCAGCGTGTAGTCAACAACGCTGCACAGAGCCGCCGCTGTTTCTGTCAACTCGTCTGACACTTGGTTTCTGTTCGTAACATTCCTGTCAGACCTTCACGCTTTATGGCTCAAGGTTGCTGAAAGACGTGTGACAAGACAGAGAATGGCAGGAATTTATCTCAGCCATCATTTAAGTTGTTATCTGATTGGGTTCATTAAGCTTCCTCGGTTTGTGTTTAAAATATGTAAAGTTTCAGGTCAAACCTTTACATTAGACTTATAGTAAAGTTTATTTTACTAAGAAAATTACCATAGTTTCAAAAAGTCTGTGGACACCCACCAAATAAACCTAATTTCCTTTATTATTAATTCATTATAACTTGAATAAATTATAATTTATTTACAAATCACTGCAAAAAGAGCCTGTGATGGACTGGCAGCCTTTTCCAGGATGTATCCCACCTCTCATTCAAAAACGCCTGGATGTCGTTCAAACTTTTTAAATAAGAACCAAAAACAGTTACCCAAGATTATAGGGTTGRGCGATAAATCGATTTATCAATGACAATATGGCAGCTAGCAAAGAGGATCGTCCCAAAAAAGGCACTGTTTCTTCAGTTTTCTGGAACTSGTTAGGTTTTGCAACCTCAGACTTGGAGCAACAAACATCTGTTTGAAGGCTGTTGCTACAAAAAAGCAGGAGTACAACAAATTAGTTTCAACACCTGAAAAGAGGCACTCCGTTAAGTGGGAAAAAAATCGATTAAAATTGAATTTGGTATGAAAAAAAACAGATTTTTTTTTGGGCCGTATCACTCAGCCCTACAAGACTACTATGATTAAAATAAAGGAACTAGCTCCGTGGTCTTACATGGAAAAGGGGTAAAAACAGATAGACGTTATTATGGCAGGGATAAGACCCCAGCAGGCAAACACACATGAAAGATTTGGGATTTACGCCTCAGGATTACGAGACTGCAGCACCGACCACCGAGCYACCGCTGTGGGACATTTGTAAKGTCCGCTGCTTCTTGCACTATWGCTGTGTTTCCATCAATGTTTTTTCATGCGCATTTTGAAGTGTYGCATTAGAAAAGGTGGATGGAAACGGCAAAATTTGCAAMAACTTCCTCAAATTTGCAAAAAGGTTTTTACRCTSGYTTGAGGTGGTTTTTGGATTTTCCCAAAAAGAGTTAATGCACACAAAGATAGAAACACATTGAAGTTCTGACATAGCGATTGTTTACTTCGATCAGCTGTTCCTGCTGTCCAGTAATTGTAGCGGCTGCAGCTGGACCCTTCTCCCGCCAYCTGAGTCTTYCTGGATATTCCTGTAACATGAAAATAATTTAATTTCTTTGTCTACATCTCCAGACAGCCTGTAACATCAACACTAGCTGATCTGACAGAATAATTACGACTTTCCTGATAGTAGCAACACATTCCTGAAAACTTCTCTCCTGAGATGTGTCTCTGCGAGTTTGCGACTTTACTTCCTGTTTTCTACAGCCATGCGTAACATCAACGTCTGGTTTAATTACACTTGGTGTAGCCTGGTTGATTTGCTCCACACCAGTAGATGGAAACACGTCTGATGCGTATTTTTTTTGCAACATTTGTAATTAACTGCCTGCAACTTTCTTCCTCAGATGCAGACTATAAAGTGTGTGGTGGTGGGTGACGGTGCGGTGGGAAAGACCTGCCTTCTCATCTCCTACACAACCAACAAGTTTCCCTCGGAGTACGTCCCCACTGTGAGTAACCACTGGTACCAACAAGAACTCAACAGAAACCTGTTTACGGAGAGCCCATCAGAACTGACATGATGGTTTATAGTTTGCAAATGTGCAGCAACAGGATTTTCCATTTACTGTTTCTTTTTTTAAACACACTGTACTCAGCTCTTTCTGGTCTCACAGGAAGTCACACTTGTTTACAGTAACAAAACTAAGTAAACCAAAAACACATGATATATTTCCACCCTCTGCAGTAAACTGAAAGAGAAAGCATCACATCAGTTAATAAGTCCTAAATAGTTTTTGCACTTTTTACACCTTAAAACCTTCTACTTGTAGGCGTGGTTTCAGAGACTCAACTTCTTTCTTCCTTCCTGTGCGGATCAAAATAAATGTTGGTCATAATTAAAARTAATAGAGGTGTAATTTTTGACACTCAAGCTGTGTTTTGCTTCAGAAAAACATTACAGGAAAAAAAAAAGCTTTAAAGGGATCCCTGATTAGTTGTAACATTAGACTTTATTTGATAAACATACACTCAACGGCCACTTTATTAGGTACACCTGTCCAACTGCTCGTTAACACTTAATTTCTAATCAGCCAATCACATGGCGGCAACTCAGTGCATTTAGGCATGTAGACATGGTCAAGACAATCTCCTGCAGTTCAAACCGAGTCTTAATTTTTTCTACTTTTGATCATTCCTGAGAACCGTTGGCTGCATAAATAAATTGAGTTAAGAGTTGTAATCAGAGGTTGACACGATATGTCTTCGTGATGCTAAGTTTCCTACTGGTCATGACTAAACTACAAATCCCATGATAACTGCTGGCAAAAGCGGCACAGTTTACTTCCATGTTTTTGACCTCTTTGCTGCTACAACACCCCACATACAGGTGACTATTTACCTGCTCAAAAAAAAAAACAGAAGTTCAGTCATGTCCACTGCTTGTTGTTTAAACATGGGAAAGTGTGTTTTCAATGAGACTTGACT